TAACTCCAGTTCCAAGGGATCCAATGCCCTCTTCTGACCTCCACAGGTATTGCACAACAAGGGTGCCCTTACACATATGCAGGTAATACACTCATGCACATAAAATAAAAATAATTTTTTAAAAAGCAGAGAGATGGTTTGATGTAAGAACCCATTTTTAGAAACTACATTAAACAATTGTTAGCTCTAGGAGAAGAGCTGTGATCAGACTGGATTTCCACAGAAGATTATGAAAACATGCCCAAATGAGCAACACCTTATGACCTCTCTTCTTGGTAATTCCCTTTACCCAGTGAATATTGACTGACCTGGAAGGTTCTGGATTGAGGTTTCTGCTAAAATCCATGGCTCAAATCCATGTTCCAGCTTGAGAATCAACTCAGGCTTGGTCAGGCAGTGTCCTATAAATGGGAAATAATATACAATTTGTACTAAAATGCTAAGCCACACCCACTGTGGAAAGATGACAACTCCATTTAAGGAACTGTACTTTGATGGTGTTCTTTGATGGAACTGTACTTTGATGGAAACTTTTATTAACAAAAAGCCTACAAATGATTACAACCAATAAACATTAGAGAAATGTCAATCAAAACCACAATTAGCTATGTGTTGCAGATACACTGGTATTATGTAGAATACAAAGTAACAAATTTGAAAAGTCTCATAAATTGATGGTAGAATATAAAATTAGAACAGCTATTGAATAATTGTGATGGTACCTTACAAACCTAAATGTAGAATTACTACATTATAATACTGCATATATGCAAAGGAAATGAACTCAGTATTATTTCAGAGAAACCTGCACCCCCATATTTATTACAGCATGTTCACCAAAGCTAGGATAGGTGATCGATGCAGCATTCACCAACAAAGAATTTAAAAAGTGGCATATAAATAATTGAATACTATTCACCCATTAAAATACATGAAAGCTCCATCACTCATGTGATGTGAAAAGTCATGAAGGGCATTACGTTAAATTGTAGTCTAGCTATTCCTCTGGCTTGAAATGATCATCATCTTAAAACATAGCAGCTCTGGTGATCTGCAGGAGACTTTGGGCCACTGTTGTGTCAACTAAACAAAGGGAACTATACAGCAGACATCTAGGTCTGTGGTAATGGTAATTGGACTGTCAACATTCCCTCAAGACTGTCATGGACCCCTCAACTGAGGTTCCAGTCAGGACTCCCTTCTGCCCAATTTCATGCCACATACAGAGGAAAAGGTTCACTAGGTTTGGAAATTTTCGGTGATACAATTGTCTGACCATCACCTCTGCTCTCCAAGTAACACCAATAAACTCATTTGTTCAAGTTGGAATGGATGGAATCTTTCTTTAGATTCGAAAGCCTTCCATATTTGTGTTAATAAATGTATCTTCAATGTCTCCCCATCAAAGTCACAAGACATAAATGAACTATGCCAGGCACAAAAATAAAAATCCCCTGTGTTATTATATTTGTAAACTGAGGTTGGTCTTGAAGCAGAGAACCAAGCACTGAGTACCAACGTGAAAAGGCACAGTGGAGGGAGTTGGGGGAGAGGACAGCTAGCATTTACTGGAATACACTTGGAAGGAAGGAACAACTAATATGCCGTAGTACAGTAATAAACCTATGGATGATATCAATCAATTCAACATTTCAAACAGCCATCAGAGAGATTTTGAATGCTCCAAAAGTAATATGCCTGAGCTGATAATCTTAGCAAGTATCTTTATCGGATCATTACTCATTACATAAAAGAACTGCCAATCCACTGTTCTCCATAAATGTGTCCAGTTATCACTGTCAGTCAAAATGCATAACATAAAGTTAGTATGAAGAGTTAGCAATGATTCCTATATTCATCACCCAGGAAGAAAATAATTGCTACTGAGTTACAGGGGAGTTGGACTCACCCAACAACACCAGGCTGTTGTAGGTCTCCAGCATCACATCCCTGTAGAGGGTCCTCTGAGCAGCATCCAGGTCCTCTCACTCTTCCTTGGTGAAGCTCACAGATACATCCTCAAATGACACTGACTCCTGTAATGACACATTTTTTCCTATCTCAAATCCTCAACCTTGGGAATAGAAAATGTGGATTTACGCTTTTATGTGTATGTGGGCCTTACCAGTGACTTACAGGTGTACCTGCATTTGTATCATGTATTACAAAATAAAGAAAAATCAATGCAGTATCTGATCATATGAAAATATGATTACAGTTTTCTAAGGACTTACAGAGAAACAAAATCCATGGAGAAATAAGTGGTGTATATAAGGTTTTTGCTATTAAGAACAAAAGGAGGAGGCCTGTAGGGATGCACTGCTCTTTCACAATACACGAGTTTGATCCTAGCACCCACATCAGGCAGCTCACAAAGGCTTCTAACTCTTACTCCAGGGACTCTGACTGGCTGCCATGGACACTGCACACACATGCACATACCTATACAGAGACTCACACTCATACACATAATTAAAAATAGAAATATATCTTTAAGAAAATAACAGAGGAAGGGATACATAAACCCAAACGCACATTAATAACATTAAGTCTATAACGAATGAAAACTCCACTGAAAAGGCACAGCACCAGGTACACTGCAGGCCCAGAAGGTGAAAGAGGACGGCTTCCAGGGCCTATGACAGAGCGGCTCCTATCTGTTATCTTCATATAAGTCCGATATTTGGTCTCTCTCTTGTGCTTCTATTTTCTATGCCACTCTCTTATATTTTCTTTCTGTCTACTTGGGCTAATTTGCTCTTCATTTTCTCGATAATTTATAACTTCCCTCATACCTCACCCCACTATCAGTTCCCTCTGTTTCCCGGATAGTGGGAGGCTCCATTCCCTTCCTGTGACTCCTCAATTCACTTTCTATCCTGCGTCAGTCTTTCCTGGAGTCACACCCACACCCTCAGACCATCAGAGTTCTGGGAACTGCAACTCCTCACTGGGTCGTCAGACTTCTGCAGACTGGGTTCCCTAACTGAGACCTTCATCACCTTTCTCAGACCATCATGGTAGAGACAGAAAGTTCAACACCAAAAAACAAAATTCCCTCACTTTGTAGAAGTCAGACCACAGCTGCTCAGAAGCTGACCCAGTGGCTTATACAGAGAATTGGATTCTAACTCATAATGGTCCGTAGTGCCTCACCCCAAATGGCCAGTCTCAGGGAGGACAGGTGCTGGTTACTAACTCAGGATACTAAGCTCCTCTTTTGAACTTTATTCAAATACAATTCCACACAAACGGTCCAATAGTCAAAGCCAGGTAACTTTTCTTAACTGCTTTTAAAAAATTCTTCTCAGGGGTGTGATTCAAATTCATTCTCTCTGAACTTGCCCTCCTGTTTCTCTCCACAAAGCCTATTCTCTATTGCAATTTTTACGTCAGTTCTGGTCTGATAAATACACTGATCATCATAGCACAGGCTTGTTGCTCCAGGCAACACTCACTTCCTTCCATGGACTCTCACCTCCACCCCTCAGACATTCACCCCTTCCTGTGTAGACTTCTGTAGGTTTTTCCAAATACATATGTCATATATCCACCAAAACAGCACTATGTAGAATAGTTTTATTGCCCCAAACTTCATTGTGTTCACTTATTTGTCATCCTTTAGCATCCCTCCACCCACCTGGTATAACTCACTGCCCCCCACCCCCAGTACCCCATGTGGTCCAGGCTGCCCATAGACCCACAAGCCTGCTGCATCAGCTTCCCAGTGCAGCTGTGCCACCATGTCCTGTGCAGAATCCTTGGCGCTAACACAGCATCTTGCTGTAGAACCTAGACTGGACTGGCACTTCCTATGTGGTTCAGACTGGGCTCAAACTCACAGCAATCTCCTACTTCAGCCTTCTGAAGATTGAGATGAGAGGGCTGCCCCACCATGCCCAACGAGAACCTCCTCTCATGCCTCTCCTCCCTGCTCTCTGGATGACAGAATGAGCAGGGCCAGGGTTCCCTGTGAGGAGCTTTCCATGTGAGTCCAAATGCAAACATCCCCAGGGCACACAACTGCAGGTTAATGGATGTCTGCTCACCTACCACAGAAGTGGCACCTTGACACCAGCTGAATTTTGAGTGTCTTGGATGGCAGAGCATGCCAGGCTCCTCAGAGGCTTCCCAAGCCTGTCCTCACCACCATGCCCTACCCAGGAAGGAGTCTCCTCACCTTTCAGACAAGCTCAGCATTGGAGCAAAGGAAGGGCCAGGCCCAGGTCCATCTGGTGTCAGAGCTCTGGATTTCTCTTTTGTCACATTTATTTCTTCGTGTGTGTGTGTGTGTGTGTGTGTGTGTGTGTGTGTGTATACATTGCATGGATGTGTGCATGCAGAGGTCAGAGGTCGACGTAGGGTATATTCTTTGACCTCATTCTACTATAATTATCGGGGCAGGGCATCTTTGAAACCACAGTTTGTAGGTTTGGCTAATCTAGTCAGTTGACCTATGGATTGCCTGTCTCTGCCTCTCAAGTGCTAAGATGATGTGTGCATGCAGAGGTCAGAGGTCGACATAGGGTATATTCTTTGACCTCATTCTACTATAATTATCGGGGCAGGACATCTTTGAAACCACAGTTTGTAGGTTTGGCTAATCTAGATAGTCAGTTGACCTATGGATTGCCTGTCTCTGCCTCTCAAGTGCTAAGATTACAGGCAAACCACCAGACACACCCTACATTTACATGTGTGGTGGGAATCCAAGCTCTGCTCCTCAAGCTTGTGTGGCAAGCACTTTGCCCAGTGAGCCCCAGCCCCACAAGTCCTTTCTTGAAGGATCAGGAAGAAATGCTGCCACCCACTCCCATGCTCACTATCAATTATTACTCATTTAAGAATGTCCTGCACAGTCTGAGAGTCTGTTGTTGGAGTTCTTGTTTGGGTTTTTCTGTGTACTTGTTGATGAAGGAGGTATTAGCTTGATCTTTATTTCGTGGTCCTGGGGATCAAATGCAGGGACTTGCACAGGTTAAGCACAGGCTCTACCACTTAGCTGTACCCCAGGACTCTCTTTTTCACTTGAAGCAGGAGCTCCCTGACCAGCTCAGTCTCACCTTGAATGACTGTTCTTCTGCTTGACCTCCCAAATGCGAGGATGACACATTTGCAAGACATGGTCAGCTTTGTTGTAAGAACTTCCAGGTTTGTGCCAACAGGCTTCCAACCATCACTACTACTACCCTTTGAGGAATGAATTTTGCCCTGTTTTATAGATAAGGAATGGCTGCTCAGAGAAGGCAAATCACTTGCCACGACCACACAGCTGGTAGTTGGTAGAAATGGAATCCAAATTGAAACATTTTTCTCCCTTTTGGCACAGAGTCTCACTATGTGACCCAGCCTGGGCTTGAACTCACTGTCATCCTTTCTCAGCCTCCCACATGCCAAGATTACGGGCATAAGTCACCATGCCAAGATCAACCCAAAGAATTTGATAGTGTTACACACTTTACAGGTGAGGACCCTGACACCCCATATTACATGGACTGCCTCTATATTATCCCTTTATTGGCGCTGCTATGCCCTTCTGTCCTAATCCCAAACTCTGAGGCCCCCAACCACTCACTGACAATACATGTCAAACTCCTCACACACCTGCCCTGGTACACCTATCTGATCAGTTGAGGGAGGAGCACAAAGTTTCCCAGGTTGCCAACTGAGGAAACCTGAAGTCATAGTGCTCTGACTCAGTCCATGTGTGCACACCCAGCACAGGGAAAATATGGGAAGTCAAGTCTTGGCCACTCATCTGGGCTGATTTTCCTGGTGATGGTAACATTGGCAGCTGTCAAGGTCCCAGGGTGGGAGGGGTCAGGAAGTATAGGCTTCACTCAAGAAGCTGACCTCCATTCACCCCCAGGGGCAGGGCAGCCTTAGGGGAAAAAAGCAGCACCAGACCCAGGGAAGACGCCTAGTCATGAACCCAGGCAGAAAGCTGCCTGACCTTGGGTAAGTACCTCAGAATCTGGGCTCTGTATCTTCATTTCTGCTGGCTGAAGAATCCACTGCCTCTTGCTGAAACTCTTCCTTCTGTGCCTGCCTAAAGCCTGACTCCCTTCTTGCTACAAATGAGCCTCCCAATCCACCCACTTCCCCTCCTTGCTCCCGAGGGCAACAGAGCCAAGCTGCAGAGTGTGAGCCGTTCTGTCAGATCACCAAAGATGGCCCGTCTCCCAGGTGAATGGTTCCTCCGAGGGCAGGGGCCTGCTGCGTAGGATGGACTGGGGAGGGGGTTTCTGCCCCATCTGGGATGGAAGCAGGGACCCGGGAGGAACAAGAGATGGCAGTGGGCGTGAAGAGAAAGATGACCCTGGCGCGTCACCCGCGTGGACGCAAGAGGGGCCATTTACCGACCCGGGAGCATTTACCAACCTGGGATGAGACTGCGAGACTGCAGGCCCAAGATGCGTGGGCAAAACGGAGACTATGGGTGGGCTGCAGGAGCATCTGAAGTGGCGGGCTCTAAGACTCTGAAAGAGTGCTTGTCTCCGTGTCAGTTCCCCCATTTACCCCCGCTGCTACACAAGGGCATAAATCATAATAAATTCACATAAAAAAATTATATGGTTTGTCTGACTGTGCAAGAGACCCCAAGAGAACTCTGGTGACAGCCCTAAACCCATAACTTGACATCTCCAGGCCTCAGTTTCCCTATTGAACTTGTTGCTTGTCAAGGAGGAGCGGTTGAAGATTAGAGCTGGTTCCAGTGGTTAACTGGAAACAGGACCCTGGAGCCACAGAGACCTGATAAACAATATCTCTCGGTTCCTTGAATATTGCTACAGGGTTGCTGAGGCTAGCATCACAGAGAAGAGCTTGGCAACCTGGGATTCTACTTGGCTTGGGTTAAGCCCACACCTTTGTCCAACAATGCTCTTGGCAACCTAGGACCCTCACCTGCACATGCCATGCACACACATCCCTCTCCTAACAATCCACCTAGCAACCCAATACCCCCACTTGCCTCCTTACTCCTCCAAACAATGGAATGTTTGTCACCTGATGCCTACTAAGGATGGACATTTTCTATTCAAGTGTATTTCCAGTTGTGTCCATGTATGAGAATAAGAAAGCCAATCTGGCTGAGTTATTGTTCAGTGCACAGGCAATAAGGAAAAGTTGCTCTCTGAGTAAACTCCCCTATGTATATAATTAGGAACGCATATAACTGAAATCAGCTGCACAGTGAACAAAAGCTTATATAACTCAAGGTGGTTTTGATTTGCATTTCCCTGCATCTGTCACATCCCTAAACAAACAAAATTTCTTGCTGTATACTAAACATGGATCCATATATTTACAGACACATATAAAAGTCAGCACTCATCAAAGAAGCTTCTTTTTGCAATAGATAAAGACTATTACAGAGTTCCATGACTGGTCACACACAGAGAATGTCTGTGAGCAGCCCAGCCCTAAGTCACGTATATACACTGGAACCACTACACCTAAGGCTTATGGAACACAGTGAAACAAGAGGTACAGAGTATCAGTGCATCTCTCAACTCTCAGCAGTGAAGCTTCCTCTTGAAACAGAGTACAATGCACACAGAAAGCCACAACTGGCCAAAAGGTAGAGAATAAGAGACTGCAGAATATGTGTCCCTGAACAGGACTCCTATATTAAACCTTAGCCACCCAGGGCGCAGAAGCCATTGTGGAAGATGGGGTAGAAAGACTGTAAGAACCACGGGTGGTTCATGAACATAAGGAAACAGAATCTTCCAACCAGAGTTCTGGGAACTTTTCATATGAATTTAAGCAATGGGGACATCATGCACAAGACCCATGAAAACTGAAACCAGAAAAAAACCCAGCACAGAACTGGGGAAATGGGCAGACGGCTCCAACCTTAGCTGAGGAACCACTGGCAGCTGATTAAGGCTGGGTGAGGGAGACTTGGTCTTCTTTAAAGGAGTGAAGCTAGATAGGCTGAACAAGCTCCAGTGGATGAACTCACACTGAGGGACATCTGGGTACATAAACTTGACTCAATAGACCTTGACATATATGATAGAATGCACGAAATATGATGGGCAGGTTATGGGGTGATGCAGATAGGGAAGAGGTCTAAATATAATTAACTATATGAAATGTACAAAAATTCAATAAAAATATTTTTTAAAAAAAAAGATTGTTTCTGGGGCTGGAGAGATGGCTCAGTGGTTAAGAGCACTGACTGTTCTTGCAGAGGACCCGGGTTCGACTCCCAGCACCCACATGGC